ATAAGAAATGGAAAAGAAATTGCTACAACTTCTCTATTTTTAATTAATTTCGATATTACATTCACGTAAATCAAATGGATAACCGTTCTTAAATTCGATGTTTGCTAATTTAACTTTATAAAGTAATTCGAGTAAAAATTCTTTAGTAGTTGCTTCAATAATATTATTGTTCTTATCGAGAACAAATTTATGTTGTTTCAAGAATTCTCGATGTTTTCTATCAAGAAGAGTATTTTGTTTATCACTCAACTTAATTTGAATATATTCAGTTATATGGCCTTCATCATCAGGATACATGATTGGTCTTCGAAAATTTGTTTTTTCATTTTCTCTGAACCATGTGAAATTTGCACGTTCTTTTTTTACTTTTTTATCAACCGATTCTTGAGTTTCAGAATCCGAATCACTTGGATGAAACATTTTAAATTACATAAAGAAAAATCTAATCGGTTTTGAAAACTGATTAGATATAATTAAACTTTTTTGATAATAAATATTCACTTTGGTTGTAAATTTAATTTAGAAATTTGATATTCAATAGATTCTTCAGATAATAAATAAATTTTCTCCCCATCAAGCTCTCTATATAAAAAACTTGTTCTATTTCTATGAAGATAATAAATAAAACTAGACTTATCTTCTATTATACAAATCTGACCAGAATTTACATTTTGATTAAAATTACTTGGATGAAAATAATAATATATAAAAGTTTTTAAATATTTTTCGAAAATTGTTTTAGGAATCAATATTTTTAAACAAATATAATTAAATTTTTGGAAATAATTATTAGAATTTTTCCAAATTATTTCGGTAATAACCCAATCTCGACATAATGTAGAAATTTGGTCAAATTTTAATTCATCACAATCCTCATTTTTGTTATTAATTTTTAATTTATATTTGTTGTAATTAATTCGTTTTAAGGATATATTTAATAAAATGCTTTTCATGAGAATATAAAACATTTTATTAACTATTGATAAAGTTTTAACTTCTTCAAAATTTGTAAATTCATAATGATTTAGTATATTAAGAAATATTTCTACAGAAAACATTTTTTAATATTTTAAATAAAAAAATATCTAATCGGTTTTAATAACTGATTAGAATTGAACTTTAAAAGAAATTTTATTTGTTCTTATGTTGATTCGCGAACACGTATCGATGATTCATACGTTGTATGAATCGATGATATGACTCGATCCCAGTCTCATCACGAATCGTTGTAACAAACGCATAAAATTATTGTTAAATGTGGCTTCCTAATCTCCCTCCTTCCTTTCCTCTAAATTCATCAGTTCTGTATTATAGAATAAACAAAAAAAGCTCGAACGCCTCGATTCGATGATAAGTGATTCGTGTTTCTCACAAATCACTTCTAATCGAAATCTCATTTTCAAGCTTTTTTTTTAATCATTTAACAATAAAAATATATTTATTTTATATAATATAAATAATAATAATAAATAAAAATAAAATAAAAAAAATAAACTAAAATTATCTAAAGTAAAAGTCAAGAGTATTCCGATGAATAACTTTCTCGTCTTTTTCAATAATCTCATCTTTAAAAGAACCTATTTTAGATAACTTATCTGCCTGTTCGTTACCGTAATTACCTTGATGACCACGCACATGAGTTAATTTAACCGATCCTATTCTACTGTCAATAAGTTTTTTTAATTTTCTAATTAAATCCTGATTTTTTACTGGTTGATTACTACTCGTCATATATCCGTTTTTTTCCTATTTTTCGATCCATTCTCCGATAATATTAACTACATGTAAACTGTCAGTGAAAATTTCTAATGATTTTGTTTTGTTTTCACAACTTTTGATCGCTCTAATAACCGCATAAATTTTAGCACGATTGTTTGTTTGTTGTTCACCAGGAAGTCGTTCAGACAAATTTCTCAGATCTTTATCTCCATAAAATACACCAATCCCAGCTTTAGCTTCTTTAGTTCCGTTACCTAAACAACAACTATCAGTCCAGATCTGAATCTTGTTTTTATCTAAAACTACAGTTTCTTTTTTATCATCAATAAAATTTTCAGCATCAGTTTTAAGAAAAAACCTTTGAAATTTAGCACCACGAAATCCTTTAACTTGCGCTTCACATTCGTCCCAAGTTAAATAGATTCCTGGTTTTCTACCTTTATGAACAGCATAATAACCTGGTTTTGTTTTTGGCATCTAAAAAAATGAAATCGTCGTCAGTCAGTCAGTCAACCGATCAGCCACAAAGTGAGAGTTAGTATAATGTGAAGAAAGCGAATTCCTAAACAAGATACGGTTGGAACCCTCTCACCTTAAAATAATAAAAAATTGCG